CATCTCCTCCGACAGCGTATAGTATTGTCGCTCAAAGTCCAGACTCACGCCCAACCTCTGGATCTGTTCGTTGATATCGCGCTCCCTCTCGGCCTTCCACTGCCTTATGTGCGCCAAAAACTCTTCGCCGCTCATCTCGTGGCGGGTTTTGCCACAGCTTTTGTTAATATACTTCTCGACCACCATCTGAGTGGCGATACCCGCGTGATCCAGACCGGGAGTCCACCGGCACGGGTGGCCGCGCATACGGTGGTAGCGGCAAATGGTGTCTTCGATAGCGAGTGTCATCGCGTGACCTACGGGTAGAGATAATGTGGGAACCAATTAGTGATACAATCTCTCTCTCTCTCTCTCTCCAAGAATTAATGTTTTTATGCTAACTTTATATACAGTGCCGGCGAAGCCCTAGTCATTGCTCGCCGTCGACACCCATCAGCCGATATACAGGTACGACAGGACACCGACGTATTGGACACGTGGTTCTCTGCAGCGCTGTTGCCGCTCAGCGTTAACGGTTGGCCACAACGCGATCCGACCGCCGATGACAACAACGACCAGCGCTTCCCACTATCACTCATGGAGACGGGTCGCGACATCATATTCTTCTGGGTCGCCCGTATGGTCATAATGTCGCTCTCGCTGACCGGACGGTTGCCGTTCCGTCGAGTACTACTGCACGGTATGGTCGCCGACAGCGACGGTCGCAAAATGTCCAAATCCCGGGGTAATGTCATCGACCCGTTGGACGTGATCGATGGCGTCACGTTGGATGGGCTGAAAGCCAAGTGCTGGCGCGCCTACGACCAGGGCTTGCTGTCCGACAAAGAGTTGGCCGTAGGACTGGACGAGTTGGCCAAACGCTTCCCGAAGGGTGTGCTGGCGTGCGGTGCGGACGCACTGAGGCTACACCTCTTGGAGACCCGATTCAAAGAGGAGAGCGTGGCTTTCGATGCCAAACAAGTGGTTATGTGTCGTAACTTTTGCAATAAACTGCACCAAACGGTGCGCTTCTTCGCCACGAATGTTGACCTGAGTTTCCGCGAAACCGATATTTTGACCGTAAGTGAACTCCTATAGTGTGAACTCCTTTACTATTAACTCCTTTATTATGAACTCCTATAGTGTAATCAAAAACAGAGTCAATTGAGTTAACAATTGTTTTAAATAACTTGTGAAATATTTCACTATTAGTTGATGCCGTACTTAACGCCGACCGACCGCTGGATTCTCTCGGAACTGGTGGCCGCCGTTCAGAGCGCCGACCAGTCGATACAAGCGTACGACCTATCAGTCGCCGCCCATCGGCTCAACCACTTCTGGCACCACCAGCTCTGCGACGTATACGTTGAGCACATGAAGACTGTGCTCCGGCCCACTGATGACCAACAAAGCGCCGTCACCTGCGCTGACCAGACAATCACCGCCCGGAACTGTTCGCTCAACGTGTTTGTCGTGTGTGTCCGCACAGCTCTCCGAGCGCTGCACCCATTCATGCCGTTTATTACGGAGAACCTGTGGCAACACATGCGTCGACTGTTGGCCACCGATGGCCGAGCGCTCGACTACAAGAGTATTGTCGACGAACGCTATCCGGACGGCACCGCCGCCGCCGACCAGTGGATGAAAGCGTTTGATTACGCGGTCGGCGACGATATGCGTACCGTAGAGGCGGTCATCCAACAGATCCGTTCGCTGCGACAGACGTACAAATTGCCAAAGAGTCTACTCCGCGAGAAGACTGTGCTGTTGGCCACCAATGGCCAGCGTTTGGACAGTTATCGACGATTGATGGCCAGCGCGGCCGCTGTGCGCGCCGTCGAGTTGGTCTCAGTGCACGACATTCACCGATACGACAGTTATCTGTGTTTTAAGATCGGCGTAACGGACGGCGAAAGCGATGGCCACAGAAGTAGTGCCACAAGTAGTGATGACAGCGATTCCCCGGCCATCGGCGACGATGACAACTGCGAGCACCGGTACGACGACTGTTACTTACTTGTGGACGTGGACACCGACTTTGTAAGGGCGCAACTGTCTGTGTCGGGTGTGAAGCACGATGTGGTGGACACCACCGCCCGAGAGCTCGAGCGCTACAAATGCCATAACTTTCACCAAAACTACTGGAAAACCAGTTCAATGCGAAGGCGTGACAAGTCTTGAGACGCCGGGCGCCTCCCATATAAGTGTTTAATGACGTGATAATTATGGCAGATGTGGTGGCTGTATGGGTGCCGCCCTATCACCTCCCCGACCAGTGCCGGGGGTTGGAGTCATTGTTGATAATTAGTAGTGTAATGTGTTTTGTAAATGAATTATTAAAATAATGTTTTATAGTCTTTGTTAAAAGTAAAATATGTGTTTAACTTTTAATAACTATTAGACAATTAATTTATTTTAATAGTAATTTATTTGTTCATAATCTTAGTACTGGGGGTCGGCGTTAACACAGCACCCAAAACAGCACGTATTTATTCAAATATGACATTTGATAGCATTGTTCGGATCTACTAATCCCTATACATAATCCATTATACGCTCACCGGTATTGGCATCGGATAGTAGTGTAGAGTTACAATACACTACACAATTCATTAGGACCCGGGTTGTATTATATTTTGTCAATGAGTGGGGATATAATGTATAGTTTTTTTTCACAATAACAGTTTTAATGAACATAAAACATTACGACAATAAACACCATGTTATGTAAATTAATGGCACAGCCGTTGAATCTAATCCACGAGAAATGGACAAAAAACACCAACACATCTGATCTTATAATGTGTTTTATGGGGAGAGAGAGAGAGAGAGAGAGAGAGAGA